ACACTCTTCAGCTCGGGACAGTACGACGATGACAACAGGCAACATTACTCATCACAAACAGCCAAACAAGTCTGCACGACTTCCAACATTCGCCGGGAGTCTGTATGCGTGGCGCATTCTATTCCATCAGCCACTGCGTGCACCAGCCCTTCTAAGCTCAGAACGCCCCATACAAGAGTTGAGAGCCTTCCTTGCTGCAGGAGGCAAAGTGTATGATAAAAGTGATTAAAGCAAAGTATGATTCAAAAATGTGCTAATTCCAAGAAGTATTAATAAGAGCATGGAAGGCACCTGGAGATCTTTTCGAGCGACGGTCACTGGTGAACTGATGCGATCTGGGGGCCAAACAGGCAAAAATGCCGCTGAGCGATGGCAGCTGGTCACATCGATTGGTCGGATGCTACTGGCTTAACATGGTGTGAACATGGTGTGAACATGTGAGGGTGGAGTGGAGTTTGAATGCTAAGTCAGGTGCTTTTCGAGTCTTGAGTCTTGCGTGCCCGATCTGGCACATAGTCCTAAGTCAGGGTCCTGATGGCCTCTCTCAAGTCTAGTCTAGCACAGATGGGAATTTGTACAGAGTTCATATTGATCTTGGTAATGGGTTGGCGCCACTGATCTGAAATGATGACACGTACTTATGTGGGCAATATCTATGCTGTATGTGTAAATCATGTGCCGCATGTGTATCGTGTATGACTCAGTTGTGGCAAATGTCCTTGCTCTCTAGCCTTATATGTTGGATGATGTGATCAAATGTCAGCATCGGGCAACATCGGAGAAAGGGCTCCAGGTACTCCTCTATGACTCTATGACATGCCAATGATCAAGTCGCAGCCAACATGGGATTGGCAGCTCCACAATCGACACTCGGCACGTTATGTCGGTTTGCACAGCTCTTGTTGGCTGCTAAAATCTACAGCTTCCAATGCCAAATGGCATCTTGGCCATCTGCTAGCTGCTAGCAGAAACCAGCAGGACAAACAAACAGTAAGAAAGACAAGGAGGAAAGAAAGCTGCCATGCTGGCTTCACCGCTTGAAACTCTGATCGGGGATCCATGTCGAATAAGGGTCATCGAGTGCCTGCGGTGATCACAAAGTTGTGACAAGCAAAATGTTGGCAGCTTTGCCTTCAAAGACTTTCGTCTCCGAACAACAAGCTGCACCTTGATGCCCAAAGCTGGAAAACCTGAGGCACTATGCAAGGCTGGGACAGCTGTCAGCAGCAGGTGCCACCAAAGCACTGTTGAAATTTCTACCAAGTGTATCACTGTCCAACTGGCCGAAGAAACGAAACCTAAAATCCACTTGTTCCAGCTGGAAGTGAGTCTCAGCGGGAGACGGAGCTGGATTCACCCCTGACGTCGCAGTGCCAATGGGGCGAAAAGGCCTGAAAATGTTCAGGCTCTGCCAATGTGTTTGATCCTGTTTGCCTCGACCCCCCCAGGACTCAGGACCAGCCTCTCCCTCTCTCTCTCCACATACATGTGCGTATAAATACCTATAATATATATATATATTATATATACATTATATATATACAGTATAAACATATGTGTGTGTGAGACGAACAAACTAACAAATATGAGTCAGCTGACTGAGTTCAAAAGAGTCAGTTTGGGTAAGTCTTGCAACATTTGCAACTGGGTCTAGTGCAGCCCAGGGCCCGGCGTCCAAGGTCCTTGACTTATTCCAAGAAAATTCCGAGAGGTTCTTTCGACTATTAGCCACGCATGTAAATGTGACATCCCATGACTTGGCGATGTTACTAAACCTCCCTTTGCGCTAGAAACTCCATGCAGGAACAAAGGAAGACCCACACCAAGCTTCAGAGCTCTTACAGTCTGGCACACCTTCAACAAAACTTACAGTTGCACTGTACACAAGAATGAACATCATTCTCCGGATGCATCACCCATCATCAGACTCAGCCCCTGATGCTCCGTTTGCTCTTCAAGCCATGGTTTATCCACCACAGCACGCGCACACACACACTTTTAGAAATGCGTACTGATGTGAATGCGGTGCCACACGCCGGCCTAAGAACCCAAATCCTGAAAGGTCCAGGACAATCCTAAAGGGCCTGGGGGTCTTCAAAAGGAAGTGGGGCCAAACGCGCGCAAGTCGAAGTCGAAACGACAGGGTGACGACGGCCGCTCACATCTGCAGATGCACTAGCACTTTACAAAAGAAAAGGAAGAAAGGTGGCCACCAGCTGCGTCTTACAATGCGCCCAGGTGCACCAAGCAGGTACGTTTTCACGACAGCTTGGATGGGTCTTCGTTGGCCGTGTCCATGGGCCCCCTGCTCAAAGCAATCCTGTTCACAATTCAAAAGAATCCCTGTGACTACAAGGGGCACACTCACACACGCGGAGGCGTAAAGCTAAGGCACCTGAAGGCAAATGTGCACGCGTGCGCGCGCAAGAGACAAAAGGATGAAGACATGACAGAAGGACGAGACGGGACAAAGGTGCGTGTGGTTGTGATGAAAGGGGAACCAAGTGCAGGGACAAACCATGAAACCCAACTCATTATAAAGACCTGGGCCACCTAAAACCTGAGTTTAACGTACATGTAGTTGTGCACGAACACGCTAAGGCCGGGACCAATGTGCGCGCAAACGAAAGAAAGGATGAGATGAAAGACATGAAGACAGGAGGACATGAAAGAAAAGAGGGGAACAGAGGTGTGTGAAGGGGAAAAGGATGAAAGGGGAACCAAATGGAGGGGACGAAAACCAATGAAGCCAAACCTTATTAAAAACCTAGGCAAGCCTCGTTGAACCTGTACGTGCTGTGTGCTGTGTGTGCACCTAAGGTCACGACAGACTCCAATGAGTCTACACGAACTTGGGCCGCTACGGCCACGCAGGCCGTGCCAAAATGGCTGGCTGCTTAGACCGCTGCGGTCACGTAAAGGCATGAACCAGCTTGGAATTCCACAGATGAGGCAAAAATCTGAGTTCTCTCGGCCTAGGCCACCTTCGCCCGCTCCGGGCATGGGAGATAATGACAAACCCCCTTTCGACGGGTCCGCGGGAGGCACTCTGCGGACTCATCCCGGACTCTCACTAGGAGAGACACACTTTTAGAAATGCGTACTGATGTGAATGCGGTGCCACACGCCGGCCTAAGAACCCAAGTCCTGAAAGGTCCAGGACAATCCTAAAGGGCCTGGGGGTCTTCAAAAGGAAGTGGGGCCAAAAGCGCAAGTCGAAGTCGAAACGACAGGGTGACGACGGCCGCTCACATCTGCAGATGCACTAGCACTTTACAAAAGAAAAGGAAGAAAGGTGGCCACCAGCTGCGTCTTACAATGCGCCCAGGTGCACCAAGCAGGTACGTTTTCACGACAGCTTGGATGGGTCTTCGTTGGCCGTGTCCATGGGCCCCCTGCTCAAAGCAATCCTGTTCACAATTCAAAAGAATCCCTGTGACTACAAGGGGCACACACACACATAGATACGCACCCTTCAAGCGGTCTACGTGGCAAGATCAGGTCAAACTATAGCCGCAATAACCTGGTGAATTCAATCGCGGGATGCATTGACGAAGATTCGCAACTGGCAAACTGGCACATCTTGAAGAGGAAATCGCAAAAACACCCATTGCTGCTCTCCTCCAGGCTGATTTGGCTCTGCTGCGCTTGCTTGCCTTTCGCATCAAAGCACCCCAAGTTTTTGACTCAACATCTCAACGAAACTGGATAAAAGTGGGAGGCAGCAATAGACAAGAGCGTCTCTATCATGCACAGGGCAGGCTCAGCAGGTGTCCAGGTAATGAAGCAGCACACGTGAAGAACACGTTGACAACGGTGTCCCTACCTCTTCTTCTCTTGGTCAGCTTGATGCTGTTGGAAACCTGCCTTAGCACCATGTTGCATGGTGCCCAACTTTGGAGGTGGAATTCTGCGGCCAAGTCAGCAGTCTGGGGGGCTTACCCACGCTGGGCCCGTGTTGACAGAGAAAGTATTCCCCTGCGGGTGATGTGCAATTTTGCAGGAAGATATATGCAGTTGTGCAATCATACACCAATGAACCTTCAAGGTGAGCAATGCACAAGCAAAACGTGCAAAAAAGGCAAAGGAAACGCAAATCCAGATCTCATACAAGCCCATTCAAGGTCACGCTTTCCAAAGTGGGCAAATATACAGAAAAAGGGATGCAAATGCAACAGTTGTACAATTGTGTCTGTATGCAAAGCTCTTCAATCCCCGCGCCCGCTTGCGCTCCGCGCAGCTTTCGTCTTGATTTCAGGCTGGGAAATGGTTGAAGGAAAAGCTACGGTGCCCTTCTTTGCATTAAGCATTTCACTTGGCCACCTTGGCAATTCCCACTACTGACTATTCCAGCACATGAGAGGCAACAAATAAGAGGCAACAATTGATTTCATCTTTAATATATGGAATCTTGTCATAGGTACTTCCCAGAAGTTTTTGATTATTGTGAACTTTTCTGATTCACCATCACACAACACAAGGCCTTCGGCCTCCTTCGCCAAGTGTTGCACGCGAATTCTGCGACAAGAGGTTGGGCCCCAGCGGCGAGGCTCGGGGATTGCAAAAGGCGGGCATGTGTGGCCACCAGAGCAGTCAAACACATGCTTCAACACTCGGGACCCACTGTAGCACGATCTGATGTGCATAAGTGCATACCCTATCCAAGATATATATATATATATAATTCTCTCAGGCCGACAGAGTAAGAGGCACACTGCTCCGAGTTGTTCGTTCCGGTGGTTCTCTCACAAAACCTCTTGCTTCCTAGGGCCTAGGGCTCACACACTGTCACATTGCCCTTTGTCAGCCATCCAACACCCAAGCTAGAGGTGCAACAGCTCATCACCAGCCGCATTGGAAAACATCGAACAACATCAAACACTCCGCTTTGGAGTTGATCTGCAGAGATCATATAGAGATTGTACATTTTGGCACCCAACATCTACTGCAAAAAGGCCTTCCCCTGCGATCTTCTGCGATACCTGGTGCCTAAATTCGTTGGGATCACATGAGGTCTCTGCAGTGGTGAAAAAAGCACGTTGTCATGGCTGCTGTCAGCACACCTCCAATCATATCAAGGAAAAGTGCAGGAATACACGTGCATCATTTTCTACGCTCTGCCCATCTCATCATGATTCAGTTACGTAGTGATATTGAGATTGTTTGCTACATAGCAATCGCCCCCTCTTATATACACCAACCTAGCACATCACCGCACAAGGCCTCAGGTTGCTTCCAACTCCGCAATGATTTTTCGAAGACGCCGGACCTCGTCAAAGTCACCACCTGCGATGAGGCCGTTGAAATCATGCATGAAATGAGCCTGGCATACACTCTTAAAATCTCTTAAATGTAAAATGCAATCATGTGTGACCGTATCTGCTGGCGGCATCTCTTAGAACACTGTGTACCAAATCGTCATTGTCGTTGTGTGGGTCATTGGGTCACATTTGGTGGCTGAACTCTCCGCCCCTGCATCCGCACCTGCAATGAGAAGCCTCTGCAGGGTTGCTTGTGCTTCATTCTTCGATAGCCTTGTCTTGAAGCCGGCCAAAGAAGTTGTTGCAGGGTCACAATGATCTCAATTCAATCTTTGCAACACACATAGATACACTATATATGTTCAAGAATTCCAAATGAGGCCATGTTCCATCAAAAAGTAGGGAAGCCTGACCTTCATGGCTTTCCAATATGTAAACACCCCGTCAGCCCGAACGTTTGGCACCTTGATCCTGCTAAGCCAGGACCAGCGAAGCCTTTTGATGTCTTGTTACCCCAGAACTCCCGGAGCTCCTCGTGGAACCGAGAGCTCTTCAGGCACGAGAAAATGACAAATGACAAATGAATGAGTGATGTTGCATGTTATTGTGCAGTTTTGCTTCACACCTGTTATTTTTTTTTCAAACTGTTAGTGTTCATAATCCCAAGCACGTAATTTCAGCTTAGATTAGCATTTTGATTCTGCTGTGTTGCAGGGCTTGGATTACAGAAAAGGATTGGACAATCTGCAAGAAAGCTACGCGCCCAAAGCACAAACAACGCCGTCCAGTGTGTTTCAACTAAGCTCCTTCAGCCGTCCAACCTCTGGTGTGTGAACGCTCAAGTACGCATCCGGTGCTGGCAATTGATGCAGTGGGGGAGCTGGAGGCTCCTCAGCAGCCAAACGGGTGCAAACCATGCCCTTCCCGGTTCCCTGTATTAGCCTCTCCCTCTCTTGCAACTCGAATCAGGAAACACGACTCGCAAGAACCGTGTCCTGTGAAATCTTCTCTGTTTTCACCACCATAGGTGGTGGTTCTGCCCTCTTGGCAGATGCGGTGGCAGCCATCAAAGGCGTAGGCATCGGCAATCGTGTCGTCTTTTCCGAATCCTTTTGTGGCTTTACGTGCCTCACCAATCGTGCGCAAGGCAGCCAACGCGCGACACAGCAGTGGAAGGTTAACTTGAGTTGCAGTAAAGAACTCCGGTTGGGTGGCATTTTGGCATCGACTCGCCTAGTAGAATCTTGTGAATCATCAGATCCTTTCCGCTGTACAGCCTCTATGGCCTTCTTCTCGGACTCCTTGGAATCATGCAGTGCGGTCTGAATTCTCTGTCCCTCCAGCCCTGAGCAGTCCTCCTCCTCAGCTATAATCTTCAAAGCGTCTTCGCTCACATTGCTTGGTTCAGCTGACCTTACCACAGAAATAACACACAAACGCGCGCATATATGCACACACACACAAACGGTGCGCGGAAACTACATGATTGGCAGGTTTCTCCGGTGAATTGCATTTCTGGTGGGAAAACAAAACGTGGACAGGAAGACCTTCCTTGTCGGGGAAGAACTTGCTTGCCGGCCCAGCTGCCTGTGCTCAGGCTCGTCTGTCTCATCGACACATGGCGAAGCTTCAACTTGCTCGAGTCCTTCACCTGTGCTCTCCTCAGCATCTTCTCCTGTATCTTCATCCTCCTTTTCAGCATCCTTATCAGACTCCTCCTTCTTAGCCTCCTCTTTCTCCATCTCCACGTTCTCCTCCTCCCGCTCCTCATCTACCTCAACCAAAGGTTGGCTTTGCTCAGAAGCCTTTGGCGTCATCAGCGGGGAGTAGTGTTCCTCTCGGTCCTCTTCTTGCACAGCTGGCAAAGGGTCCGTGGTACTCCGGTCCAACACAGGTGCCGCTGGGGCAGTTTCAACATGAGTGACCTGAGGTTCTTCAAGCTCATCAAGCTCTGGTCTCCGATCACTCCCGGGAGCAGCACGTGATATGCCACCTCTGGTTCTCAATGCATTCCCAAGCGATTTTCTCCCTGAGGGATAGCTCTCCGAACCTCAGAGCATGACAAGATCCACCAATTCCACAAAAGCTGTGAGCAAACCCCTATGAAATACAATAAAGTGTATGAGTAGCAGCTCCTGCAATGAGGTGAAATTGTTGCTTGGATGTGCTTGCTTCCAGTGTATATAATCGAATATACAGTATATAAATGGAATGGTCACCAGTGCCACCAGAGATTTGCCTCCACCCTGGTGAAAAACATATCGAAGCTGTCCATCTGGAAAAACCATTAGTAGTTCAGACATCTGAATCAACAGCTTACTACGTTTGACTCTTAGTTTGGGTCATTGACAATCGTCTTCGAAAGTACATACAGTATACATGTATGCATATGACATATGTTTAAAGACTCTTTCATTTCCTCTCCCTCAACCGTTCTGCCACCAAAGTGCGGCCCTCAGGAGCACTCTTGCGGGGAGACATCAGGAGGCCATCTTGCTTGGCCTGCGTTCACTGGCGCGGAGAGACATTGCCAGTATCATCCAGTATATATGATCTTGAAGCCGTCTGGACAACAATTTGTGATAAAGTGAGCCGACTGCATTTTCCCCAACAGGGACTCAACCGCAATTATCTATCTATCTATCTATCTATCTATCCATTTATCTATCTATCTAATTCTATCTATCTATCGATCTATCTAGTCTGACTTTCACATCTTCGATGTCCACAATGGACAGCTAGGAGAGAGGGAGAGAGGGAGAGAGGGAGAGGGAGAAGAGGGAGAGGGAGAAGAGGGAGAGGGAGAAGAGGGAGAGGGAGAAGGAGAAGGAGAGGGAGAGGGAGAGGGAGAGGAAGGAGAGGGAGAGAGGGACAGTAGTGATATCTGGCTTGATTCCATCTAGCTGTTGAAGTGATAATATGATCATATGACAATGGATGCTACGGTGGCCAATGCGGCCACGGTGCCATGCCACTCTCATGTTATGAAAGCACCCCTGCCTCTGGTTCTGCGGCACCTCCAAGGGTGCTGGCGCGTACGCGGTCAATGGCACCCTGGATGGCTTTGGACCCGAAGGCATTCAGGTTCAACCAGTCCAAGGAGCTCTTTTCAGGATCTGCCTCATTATCCTGCAATGTGTGGATGTCAGGCACTAAAATCATTGGATATCATTGGGCTGTCATGGGCAGTGGTGCAGGGCGATTCGGGGTGCTAGCTGCTAGCTACTAGCTTCTTTTGGAGTGCGAGTCGCACATGGAGATCCTTGATACTTTGTCACTATGATTTAGCGTCCCTCGATCTACCACAACGTGGCCTCAACATCTGTTGGGGCTGGGGGCTTGATGGAGATGCCACCCCGCGACCTCAGTTTCATCAAGAATTGGACAGCTTGGAAATAAGAAGAAATGTCGTTTGGTTCTTAACTCTCTTCGATCTTCTGGGCGCCCCTGACCGCATGGCTTCCCGCAATGGATTTTCATTGCCACCCACAGAGCGGCGGGGGGCACGTCGGCCCAGCCACGACATGGCAAGCGGCAGCAGTAGCTGCTATTGCCACAAATCTTGGCTCAAAAAGCTGTTCATCTACCCCCTTAGCGGGTCTGCAACAAACTTATCATACTATATAATCTCCCCATGGTTTGGTCATATCATTGATCATTTGATGTGGCAACATCGCCCTGCGAATGGCTGCTGTGCTGAAGGTGTCAGGAAGACTGAAACAAAATGCTCAAAATCGCAGCTTCTGCCACGACCCGGAACTTGGGAGCATGAGCCAGCGGGCAGAAACATTGCACATGCAGGGGCAACAGACCCGGTCAACAGCCCTAAAACATGTGCAAGGTTGACCTACTTCGTGGACAGTTGGCCTGAGGAAACAGCCCCTGAGGCCACAAATGAGGCCTCAAAGCCGATCAGCAAGCTCAATCCATGCAACAATCCAGATGCCAAAAAATACAAAATGGAGCCCACGAACCCAAATGAACATACGTAACGGCCAAACATTGTTTGAGACTCTTGTGGGGCACGCTTGTAGGACACTCCGCGGGGACACTGTTGCAGGACGACACCCTTGTGCCTCCAAAAGTGAAGCATCAAGTCTTCAAAATGAGCGTTTCAACACGTCCTCCGAAATAGTCACACGTCACGTCTCCCAAACAAGCGTTTCTTCTTCCCAACGTCGCGCGTCAAGTCTCCAAAACGAGCATTTCGTACGAGACGTCCTCAAAAAGTATCCACAAGTGAAGCGGGAAGCCTTATTAAAGAGAACACATAAGCAACCATGCCAGCAACTTGGCATCCCGGGGCCCCTCAAAACGCCAATCCCAATGGCATGGAGACATTTGCCCCCACCAAACGTCCCAACCTCACAATTCCCTGCACCTGCCACAAAAATTAAACTTCAACTTCCACACCTCCAACAGGCACAAAGTGCTGCCCCTACCACGAAAAGTTACTACAGTACGTCACATCTTCTTGTCTTCAGCAAAAGTTGCACCACGCCGCACACCATGCCGCACATTTGGGATGATTTCGACACTTGATGGAACAGAGCTTCAAGGCAAGGGCCCGAAAAGCAAATCTAATGGCACGGCCGCACTCAACCCCTCCAAAAGACCACCCCGCAAACGCCAATCCCAATGGCACAACTGATTATCTCATGAAACCTTGCAGCTGCGCAGCAAAATAATCCTCTACACGTCAGAATGTTAAGTGACTACGCTATTTCACACGAATCTGACATTTCAACTTGAGGCTTCCATCCAAAACCCCCTCCAAAAGCTTCCCCTAACGGCACGGCCTTATGCATCACATTCAAACGGTTGCAAACAGTTGTGAACAGTTGTCACGCGAACAACACTCTACACTCTACTCTCAGACTCCAAAATTGAACAAGAACCCTTCGCTACGCATTCGACAACAAACAACTGCTGCTCAAACTAATCACAGTACAGTGCATCGATGTGTATAGTATTTTTTCCATCGCCTTCTCAAGGAGGCGTATAGTTTGTTTGACAAGCATGCCTAGTCCCAAGCCCCTGGCGGGATATGTCCAGTCTTTGCCATCTCCTCTTCCAGCTGCTTGACTTGGCGTTGCAAAGCAAGGCAACCCTTCGACAACGCAATGCCTTCTATATAATGCCTTCTAGCTGGAGATTGTCTGGACCCACGCTAGCACGTCGGCAGGCTAGGGTGGGCATCAATTCCTACATAAATCATTTGATGGGCGCAATTTCCGGCCTTTTGTCTGATTACAGCTAGAGGCCCGAGGTCTATCTAGGCCGGCCAAATGTCAATGTCCTCCTGAACATTTTGCCCATCATACATACTGTTGCATCACTTGCCAGGAAAACAAGGCTAGCCGGGCGCGCGGTGGCGCCGCTCGAACAACCCGCGCTTGCGAACAACAAGCCTTCAATCCTTGAAATGGTGCTTGATAGTGCCTGATTGTTATTCTCCCGGACGACATGAGAGAAAGGCAACTCAGTGCAAGGCGTCGCTGATATCCTTGGTAGGCAGGTGGATTGTAACCGATATATCCATAGACCATAGAATTGTGGCACCGCACATTTAATTTAGCTCTTGAAGTCTTTTAACACGACTTGACAAGCAGGCTGGTTGAAGAGGGTGGTTCAGATTGGTTCGTTGTCGAAGCAAAGCGGCCACCACCACTGTCGATGTGGATGCCGCCCCCACCAGGCAGCTCAAAGCTGAATCCACCTGCAGCATTCTCCTTGATCGTGCCACTGGTCCCAAACCTGAGGGTCGGGGCTTGGGTGCTTGAAGCACTAGTCACTAGCATGAACAACTCCGTATCTCATGCGTAATTGATTCAAGTGTTGGTCACAGCTGGCATTGGAGTACTCAGTGTTGACTCTAGCTGATTCCAGTGTTGACTCTAGCATGCTAGCATTCAGTGTTGATCCAAGCATGTCTGTCCAGTTGAGTGTTATCCTTGTGGACTTCTAGGTTTGGGGCACTCCGTCTTCTCCGTAGTACGGTGAGTTCATGAAGGTGCCAATGCTGGGATTCCTGACAATCAGCTATAGAAATCCTTGCTTTGGATCCTAACTAGGTGTGCACGTCCTCGGTTCTGCCTGTCTTACTGATCTGGACATAAAGGCCAAGGAAGAAACATGCAGTAAGAACAAGAACGCTGCATGAGATATTTTCCAATTGGGACATCTTCTTAATCAAGTGTTCCGCAAAAAATTGCATGACGCTACACATCGTTGAGCAAAAGGCTTGAAGAACTCGTCCACACTTCTTCCTGCCAATCGGATGCAGTACAACCATCAACAACAAAAGGATGATTGTCCAGTCTCCAACAATCCACGACAAAAACAAAAATGATACCCGTTACAAAGAAAGCCAGCATTGAATGAAAGTAGGCGTCAATCCGATGCAACACAACAAATCAATGGCAAGCCAACTATGTGAGCGAGAAGAAGCTTTAGAAGGAGCAGCAAACACCTGTAGCCTTCAGTATTCTGCTCTTGCGGCCTACAGCCTCTCCATAATTTTCTTGCAGGCCGGCTCAGCCAGCTGCACTATCTGGTTCATCGTGATATGTTTTGCTCACATCTTTCAACCTGTGAAAATGATTGGATGATATTGGAAGCTACTAAGAGTCTCGTTGCGAGTGTAGAAGAGGGGGGGGGTTGCCTTCCAAACAGTTTCAGGCCTTGGACCTGTGGCATGTCTCATCTTCCCAAGTGGCCCAAGTTCAAAGGTCCTGGGTCTTCATTTTCGCCTGCATCCTCGGAAAAACTTCACACTGAAAGGACTTGGGCGTTTCAATATGTCAATCCACCAGAATACAATTGGCAAGCGTCTTGGAAAGTCAAAAAGGCTAAAGGCAACCAGTCTAACTTCCATAATCATAATCCCTTTGACACCACCATACGGCTTGCCATGGGGTGTCAACGGAATAGTCTACAAGTCTACTTCTTAGCTTCGCCGCGATCAGGGCTCCAAAAGCCCCCAGCTGACCACAAAGCATACGCTATTCTGCAAGCGGGTAGCGCGCTATTTTCAGCCAGAAAGGGGCTCATGTACGAGTACATGTTCAAGCTGTACAAGATGTATGAAATGCCTAGCACCCCACTTGAAAAGGCGGGTGTCTTCAGGCGACTTTTCACAAAGGGCTTTCATCCCTCTGTGGCCCAGGGAATGCTTGGGAAGCCAACTCCCGGGCAGGATTTGCAACTCCTCAGTTGCAGATATGGCCTGCTGCGTTGCTGCAGTCGAGGACAGGTGGAATCTACATGAAACACTTCTCTGCCCTCCAGGATGTAAACTTCCGAAAAGCGTCCAGTGTTCCTTTCACACTGGATGGCCACATCTTTGCTCTCGGGCCGCGCCGGCTTGAAGCTCAAGCCCCCACTCAAGGCAAGGTGCCTTCCCACCATGCGGAAGCACCACCACAAAGCCGTGCCCTGCATGACCAGCAAAATGCCAAAGGCCACTGCAAGGCCCGTGAAGATCCAATCAAATCCCCACTTTGATGCTTCTGTATTGGGCTCCTCAGTCCTCACTCCCTCAGCGCTCTGCAAGAGAGTCAGCATGGCCATGACAAGGGCCCGCTTGCTGAACCCGCTGAGGGCAATGGCATTGATGCTCTCAACATGCTTCTTGCTCTCCTGCTCATAGGCTGTCTCCTCCTTCAGCCCGATGCCCAGCTTCAACCTCAGCTCATTGAACCTCTTCACTGCCAAAGCCTTGGTGCCGAAGTCTGCTGTGTTGTCTTGGCTTGGCACAGCATGCAAGCTGAACAGCTTTCGATGCAAAGCATCTTGCACCCACAATGACTTCACTTCGAGGTGTCGGATCCTCCCAACTCCCTGGCGCTGGAACACGCCACGGGCTGCGCTGCTGTCAAGGTAGACCTCCATCTGGAGCGGGAAGCCGATGAAGGCAAACACTTCCTTCATGAACAATCCCTCACTGCAGGCAGCCACGCCACCATTGAACTCAGCTTCGCCAGACGACAGGCAAAGCATCTGGAGGCTCCTGGC